TTATACGACTCGTGTGTTTATACTTGTATGTAGATGATAGATAGAAAGATATGCATAGGTATATGGTATTCATTCATACATACACACATACATGTATGCATGCATGTCTATACACAGCAACTTCCTCTTCACTATAAGCAACCACCAATACCTCAACCAAACTCAGTACCTTCACCCTCTCCTTTTCTCCAGGTATGTTGTCCTTCTACCCCGCCTCCTTCTCCTCCTTCTCGTCGTCGTTCTTCAAAGTTAAGGCAGTCTCTCCTTCCTAATGATTGTGGAAAAAGCAATTATATCCCTGTCTTTGAGGGAGAAGGTGCCCCGCTCAAGACTTACCCGTGGAAGGCAGTTTTGCAATACAGAGGTAAGAAATAGCATGTTTTTTTTACTCCTTTCACCGGGCGAAGATACTATTATTTTTCTGTTTTTTTAAGCTTTATTTGGCCGGGTTATTATTTGCTTCATTTGTTAGTTATATGGTTTCTTGGTAGTCAGCAGGTTTAAGTAAAAAGTCACTAACAGTCACTGCATGTCACGCGGCTAGTCTGACCGGGGAATAGGACTTGCATCGTTCCCTCGTACGTAAGCCTCAGGTACTGTTGAAATGTGACAAGCAACAGTACACCAGGAATCTTGCTAAGGAAGTCGAAGACCCTTCCTTAATAAATGAATTTCGTCCTGCCTACCTAGCCCTGAGAAAGCTGACTACCAAGTCCTCCTCACACCATGTGGTCCGCTCAGTAAATGGCCTGAGTATCCCAGATTGTGTCGGGTACAAGAACGTCGGACTGAGTACTTTGAGCAGCTGTACTAAGTTGATCCTCCACCAATTAGCCAATTAGGTGCCATGATCCCATCACCCATGGTATAAATTGTATTATTATTATTAACACTATTTTAGATATAATTGTTATTCGTGTTGTAGTAGTAGAAGTATCATTACCAATACGCTTACCGTCTTTATCATATTCCTTATCATTTTTACAATCATCATTATCATTATTATTATAACCAACATCGTTGGCTACACTACTATTATTATCATCGTTTCTTTTTTTTTCAAAATCATCAACTCATTTTTCACCATCCTTGTCATAATTACCGCCATTATTATCACCATCATAAATAGCATCGTCACCAGCATTTCTATTTCATATAAAATTATTAACGCACATTATTTTTCTAGTAATTTCAGAAAAATACCTTCTTACAAACCGGGTATATTGTTCAGGATCAGTCATCAACGAGAGATACGTGCTTATCCCGGCTCAGTGCGTTGCCAAAAACATGACAGAGGACTTGGGGATGTAAGTAATAGTGAGTATATGTATGTGTGTCTGCGTGTGTATAAGTGAGTGTGTGTATTAGTATGTGTGTGTGTGTTTGTATACGTGTGAGTGCGTGTGTGTGTGTGTGTGTGTGTGTGTGTGTGTGTGTGTGTGTGTTTGTATATGTGTGAGTGCGTGTGTGTGTGTGTGTGTGTGTGTGTGTTTGTATATGTGTGAGTGCGTGTGTGTGTGTGTGTGTGTGTGTGTGTGTGTGTGCAAATGTTAGAAGTAGTAAAGATGAGATTATGATAATGAGGATAACAGTAGTTATTATAAAAGATAATGGTAATGGTCACATTGAAAATTATAATAGGAATGATGATTGAAAGTATCATTATTATAATTACTAATGATAAGTAACATTACTATCATGATAATGGTTATAATGCTAATGATGATGATAGTGATAATAATGATAATGATAATAACAGTAATAAGAAGAAAAAGATAATGATCTTGATAAGTAGTAGTAATAGAAGTTATTGTTAGTATGATTAGTGTTATTATCGTTATTATTATTGAAGTTATAATTATACTCTAACCATTATTGTTATTATGATTACCATTATTATTATTATCATTATTGTTGCTGTTACCATTGTTATCATTATTATTATTATTATTATTATTATTATTATTATTATTATCGTTATTAACAATTTCTAATTATTTTTCTTTATAAACATGATAAAAATACATGTAAAATGACATCCAAAAATACAGTATAGGATTCCGCCTTCTCATTTTCACCATTCTTATTGTTCCTTTTCCTTATATTTTCTCATTTTTTTTCTGTTCTTATATTTTTTTTCTTTCATCTTCCTTTCTTTTCATATATTTTCTCACCTTTTCTCACATCCCCCCCCCCCCCCCTTTGTTTTGGCAGAGAGTTAGTCGAAGTTCTACTCGGCGAATGGGACATCTCGACCGACCCCGATTGCACGAACCTCAAGGGAAAGAAGTACTGTGCTCCTCCTGTGCAGAGATTCGCCGTTGAAGAAGTCACCATACACCCTGACTTCTTCAAACGGGGAATAATTTCTGATGACATCGCTCTCCTTAGGCTCAGTAGGCCTATTGACTTCAAGGCATCTGGGGGTGAGATTTTTTTTTTTTTTTTTTTTTTTTTTGCGTTGTCGTATTAGCTGTTTTTTTATATATATCATTTTGTT